CTACATATACTACATGCATGCCGTTAAAGCCCTTTTAGAACTATATCACGACGATGACGCAAAGTCTGATCAAACCAGTATAATGGCTGAACTTGTTTTCAACAACACTAAAATAATTGATAAATCTAACCATTGGTCCCTTTTGCTATATCAAGAATCCCTAGCTATTCAAAGACATAAACCTGAACTTAATCATGGACTTAAAGCTTCTAAAGAACTAATCATATTTAATTAATTCATTAATAATCAACCTAATTATTGTATCATATTTCTTCATATAAATATCGCTTTTGATATATAACCTAGCTAGTTTATCCTGATGATGACTGAAATATAGTCGAAACGTAGATAAATAAAAATGTTATCGATTTTTGGAGTTTCACTTGTTTTGTATTTTACATGCATGCTATCTCTATGATTTAGGAATATGTGATCAACTGATCATTCAAGTTTTAATGCTTTGATTGTTTCCTATGATTTACGTCTTTAACTGTATGACATACGTGAATATGTGCAGGGTTTTGACACAAATTTGGTCTTTTGCTAAGATAGTACTAGATTCTGGCATACATATTGCTGAAATGTTGTTTTTATGGGAAACAAATTGACTCAATAAAATCGACACAGGACAATGAGTATTATATATCAGATAGCATCATAACATGCAAATTGCAATTGTAATTGTTCTATATCACAATATGTGCAGACTAAAGGCCCTGTTACACGGTGCAATTTTTCATGCAACTTGTCTCGCAATGTTTAAAAAAAGATTTTGATGATGCATTGCAAGAGGTGTTACACGCTGCAATGATTTTCATGCAACTCGCAACGATAAGGGACAGAGGCATGCGAAGAGACTAGGGAGAGGCGCTATTTGGCGCCAAATTGTCCCCGAGCCGACGGCGCGAAGCGCAGTGCGAGGGTACTAATCCCCCCGGCTATTTACACCCGGGGAAACGAAAGCATTAGGGAAGTCTAAAGTTCATCAATTATCGCGGGCGTGGGTGACCAACCGTGGGTGGTCATCCTCACTGATCTCAAAAATATGGCGGACTGTCATTAATAGCGGACACTGATTGGTCCAATTTAAAGTTTGCATTATAACGACTGCATGACGACAGCGAAATAGCAAACATTTCTTGATTTGATGATTGATAAGTTTCTTGCAAATATATTTCATTTTTGCTCGCATTTTGGCAAGATTTTGTCAATTTCAAGAAAGAAAGGGCGAAAGAATCGGCTAAAAGAAGGGAGCCGACGTTAACGAAGGTAGTTTGTTTTAAATATTGATTTTATAATAGCTTTAAAACCGACGGCCTTTGCGTATATGAAACAACTAAACAAGACAGCATATAATTTCAGTGTATCTTTAATATTGATTCCCTTTTTTATTATATTGAATTTTTTAAATAAAAAAGGAAGCAAACTTATTTGCAAGCGAGAATTTGAAATCATTTTATTGCAAACTCAAAGTTTATCGATAAAGCCATTTAATTAAAGGCAGTTTAGTTTTATAAAGAACACTTTAAAACGTTTTGCGAAGCGTTTGTGGTTGAATTTTACCTTTAATTGAGGCTTATATTACGTATAATAACATACCTAACATATATATGCTGGGAAATTGATAATTTTGTAATTAAAAGTGATATTTTTAGGCGATTTTTCATTTGTAAGAATATTCTTAAAAAATTATCGTGTTACCATGACAACTACTTTAGATACTTCATGTTCGGAAAATACAATGGTTTTGTCAGCAAGGCGAGGGTTTCTGCATGCATGTATTTTCTAGTAATTAAAATAAAGCGTGTACTGGGGAGAGCCAGTAGGAACTCTCTACTGTAAATCTCGCGGTGTTGCGGCAACACCAAAAAAGTGTAACATTACACTGATTAGGTGTAACGCCGAATTAAACACTGTTCGAGTGTAACATTACACTTCCACAGTGTAGCTTTACATTATTTTAGTGTTTTGGTAACACTTACTAGGTGTAAAGTAAAAAATATCCTATTTACACCTAATTCGGTGTAGATTTACATTATAACGGTGTAACCTTACCTCTTCTCCCTGTTAATTTACACTTTGCGATGGTGTAAATATACACTTATTTGGTGTAAAATATGCCAACACTTGCGAAGTGTAAATTTACACTTTCCCTGCCGTATTATTACACCTAGAATGCGTTAAAATACACTGAGCTGCGGTGAAGTAGAAACTAATGTATTAATTATTATTGCGGTGTAAATTTACCCTTAACTAGTGTAAATTTACCCAATGATTGTGTATGAGATAACACCATAATTAATGTAAATATACACCGGTATGGTGTAAAAAATATGAATGCTTACTTAGTGTAAATCCACACTGAACCTGGTGTATAATTACACCAAGACCATGTTAAGATACACTGATGTAGTGTAAAGTAGAAACCGAAGTGTTGACACCTTTTATACTGTAAATTTACCCTCAAACGGTGTAAATTTACCCAAATCTTGTGTATGAAATAACACCTTGATTGTGTAAATATACACCGGTATGGTGTAAAAAATATGAATGCTTATTAGGGGAAATTTACACTGAACCTGGTGTATAATTACACTAAGACCATTTTAAGATACAATGATCTGGTGTAAAGTAGAAACTGAAATATTAACGAACACCTATACTATGCTATTATTGCTGTAAACTTACCCTCAAACTGTGCAAATTTAGCGATCTACTTCTCGTGTATGAGACGACACCATGACCCAGCGGGCAAAATGACGTTTATCCAACGTTGAATCAACGTTGGAAATGACCTTCCAGACGTTGGATAGACGTTGAAAAAGGGTTGACTATGCAAATTGGATCGACGTTACTGTTTCGACGTTGAAACAACGTTGAAATTAGGTTGTCAATCTCGTCAACCATAATTCAACGTTGAATCCACGTTAAAACAACGTTGAGATTGGTTCACAAATCGACGTCGTACATTTAACCATGAATGAACGTTAATTCAACGTCTGTTGGCTGCTGTTGAACCAACGTTTGTAAAACAACGTCAGAGCAACGTAGATATTAGGTTGTCGACGTCGCAATCTTTTTTCTACCAAATTTCAACGTTGAAACAACGTCGTGTGCCCGGTGGGGATAGTGTAAGGTGTAAACCATTGGTGTAAACATACACCAGAATTCGAATAGTGTAAAAGTTTGTATGGGGACCAAAATATACTGACCGGCTTGCCCTTCACATTAGGGCTTTTTGAAAAGTCGGTGTAAAAGTGTAAAGTAAAAACTATTTTATAAGACTACCTTTAAACGGTGTAAACTTAAACGGTGTAAAACTATTGGGATTTTCTGCGTTTTGTAAGGTGTGCCATGCAGACCTCACATTGTTCATTTTTTATTGCAATCTGTTACCTCCATATATTAAGTTTTCCCAGTCTAATCTTTTTTTGGTGGCCCCTTGCTTGTTACTTCCACTTTAATTTGGCCAGGCTATACCCCCCTCCCCCTCTCCAAATTTGCCCCGCTGGCTATGGTGTACATAATATGTCATAAATCCCTCCTTCTCGGTGTTTATCCTCTACAAAATAAGACAGCTAGAATTTTGAAGATAGAATTAAGAGTTTCTGTAAAAAAACGTACTACCAACCTCGTTCCCAGGGCTTCAGTGTGAGGGTTGCCGTACTACAGTTTAATTTGCACTGGATTGTCCACATGATTGAGATCAGTGCTTTCAATCGTGTGCCATATATGGGCTCCCAGAAGGCTTAGCGGGCACACTTCGAGCGCATCGTTTGGAAATTTATGCACCTATCAATGTTAACCCCGAGGGGGCGGGGGTCGGGCAAAGGGTGGGGATTTGATCAATCAGGTGGTCCCATGGGTCGGGATTTGGACTGACACTTTTTTTCTAAGTGGCCCGAGGGTGGGGATTTTTGGCAGATTAACACTGATCTCAGACGATATACTGAAGAAACCTGAGCCAATTTTAGAACAAACTCTGACTCGTCCCCAGTAGCCCGCTGTAAAAAGGGACTGTGGAAGCCGGTCAGGAACAAACTGAAGACTGGGCACTAGTTTATCGCTCGCTGTCTTGCGCGTTGTTTTTACAAGAAATATGGAGATTTCTGGACAAGAAATAAACACTTATAAGCCATTTTATAATTATATTAATATCGATTTATACTTATATGTTAAAAGTTCACATTATGTACTATTTAAAACACGAGTACGAGTGTGTTTTATCAGATATAAAACGCGAGGCACACAACTTAAAATACGACTACAAAAGAATACTAATTAGGGCGAACAATTATATAAGAATACTGACAATATAAGAATACACCGTGGTGTAGCGGACTGGAACACAGGCTAGTGTTTTATCAGATATTATAAACTCACTTCATGTGACATAATATGGCTGACATGTTTACCGCAAGGTATATGAATTATTAATGAGTATTTTAAGTTATTTTGAAACGTTCTTTATATTTGTTATACTTTTAAATTATACCGTCAAATGTATTTGTGTAATTTCCCTATCACCTGACATATAGAGTGGACCAGAAACCAAATACCTCAGGCATACAATTTCATCCCGGGGGTGGGGAATTTTGCCCAGGAATTTTCTCCCGAGGGAGTGGCATTTGACATTTTTTTTTGTAAAAATGTCAAATCCCCACCCCTTGCCCGACCCCCCCTCCCTCGGGGTTAACATTGATAGGTGCATTAGTATAAACGCTTGTTGATATGGCCGAGAATATGGCGAAGTTTTCTTAATATATTGAAGAAGATAAGAAGAAATACTCCAATTTTTGAACACCCACACAACAACTTTAAATGTAAGTGTTCAACTATGTCAATATTCTGAAGTTTCGTGTGTAAATATGTGCCATAAATTGTTGTATAATTTCATGTATATTTTTAACCGCCGTGCCGATGGCCGATTGTATATTTTTGTGTTTGGTTTCAACAATATATTGTTATTAAAACTTTGTGATCTTGCTTTGTATTTACAGATTATAATTCCAAGCAATAAATGCTGTCATAATATGTTATTCAAGCAAGTCAAACTGTCGAAATCATGATATATAAAACGACAACAAACTGGAATATTTACTACAGGCTACAACTAGAAGGTATGAATATTGTTTATAGCGTATTGACTGAGACGGTATCAATATTGACTCATTTAGCAAATATTGATATAATCTCCAAAGCAAGTTCTATGACTATGGCTTTGTATGAGAGGAGAATAATTTCTCCTTTGTCTTTAATATTTATATTGTGCTATCAATAGTTTCCAGACAACCCTAAATATGCATGTTGCTGAATTCCCTGAATACATTCAGGATGTATGTTTCTCATAATTTTTTCTGTGTTGATGTCATGTACTCAGGTTGTCGTACTCACCTACACTGGGCTAGTATTCCAAAGGTCGTAGGTTCGATTCCCACCATGGCCAGGCATATTTTTTTAAGCTTGCCCTGTGTGGATATATAGTCAGAGTAACATCACAAACATTATGTTTCTCATATTTATACCTGAGCAATTCCAAGCTCAAAAATTATGGTGTACCCCTGATTGCCCTGAAAAAATATCTGGATAGTTAGATTATTTTAAATACTATCCACTATCTGCCGAGAGGGGGAATAGGGCCCTAACTTTAGATTGAGAGCCTAAAATTGGTCCTTTAAATTGGTTAGAGCATTCTTTAAATTGAGGGCCCCTTGCAGTAGCTCCACATGGCCAGGCATATTTTTTAAAGCTTGCCCTGTGTGGATATATACTCAGAGTAACATCACAAACATTATGTTTCTCATATTTATACCTGAGGAATTCCAAGCTCAAAAATTATGGTGTACCCCTGATTGCCCTGAAAAAATATCCCAATATGCTGAGTACTATACAGACCCTAATATGGTATAATAGTAAACGAGTGATGTTCACATACCGTAAAAACAATCACTTTCAAAAGAAATCCATCAGGCGCAGAACACGAATATATGAATATGCCCCCCCCCCCGCATTTTTGGTCTAGCTACGGCCCTGGTCAAGTTGTGTGTTTATATGGAACTGAGGCAGACCAGATACCATCTGGAGTTCATTGTAGTGTTGTGCCAACTACCAAGAAGAATTCATGATCCATGTTTACTTGAGACTTTTCAGGCAGGTCAGCTCAAAGCAACTGTCTTTATTGTTAAATAAGAGCTGTTTACATTGCCCTCTGAAAATGTACTACCGTACGGAACAGATAAAATGGCATTCTTACTGAATGTACCTGTGCTTGGACAAAGGTTTGAAATGCTATGTACGGTACCGGATATCATATCCAGGTTCAGGGCTGCCGAGAGAATTTGTTGGGCCCGGGGCAAATCTTCTTTGGGGGCCTCATGACTAGACCTTAACTAGATTGCATGTGGAGCTACTGTAAGGGGCCCTCAATTTAAAGAATGCTCTAACCAATTTAAAGGACCTATTCAATTTTAGGCTCTCAATCTCAAGTTAGGGCCCTATTCCCCCTCTCGGCAGATAGTGGATAGTAAAATAATCTTACTATCCAGTATTTTGGAAGAAACCAGGTTTGACCTTTGAGATTTGTGAGCAAGGCTTTGGCAATACCCTTGTTTAGAGTCACTTTGCTATGATTTCACATATCTTTTGAAGTCAAAGTATCATAAACACCCTCACTTTATAACCAATTAAAAAGCTCTTTGCTATGATTTCACATATCTTTTGAAGTCAAAGTATTATAAACACCCTCACTTTATAACCAATTAAAATAATTATTTATCTTTAAAAATGAAAGTCTAAACCTTATATTATATCAACAGTATTTGACCGGATATCTTTCAACTATACGTAATAGCTGAAATCTGGCTGGATTGCAAAAAGTTTTATCTGGTGATTCAGAATATTATTGTAACTTGATCAATGTTGGAAATTTGTGGTTGAAAAACCAGGAGAAATGTATTCCCCGGAGAAACACCCCACTATTGCCTCATCTTAAAAAGAAGTTAGAATTTTGAACAATTTTTATCATAGCTTTAGAATGAAATTATTAGCTAGAGAATGAAATTATTTAATAATAATTAATATACATTAGGGATGCACCGCTTAAAGCATTTTGCCATCCAGCTGAAGACCAGATATGCTGAATAGTTGGAAAATATCCTACCAGGTTCTCCGGCCACATACTGGATATAGAGTGATTATAAAATATATGTAGGATATTTAAAATGGGATATAGACTGCCTATAAAGTGATGTTGTTTATATAGAGAATACTACATGGGGGCGCCAGAAATACCAGATTTATTTCGAGTGTTGAACATGATATCTCACGAGTGAGCGCAGTGAACAAGTGAGATATGTTCAACACAAGAAATAAATCTGGTATTTCCAAGCACCCATGTATTTTTCTGTTTATTATATAAAGGACAGTTTTTGAAAAGCGATAATGTTTACAGAAAAGCGATAATTGAAAAGTGATAATTTTCACATGTGAGATTATCATGAATAATCTCACATGTGTGATTGTCACTTTTATCAGTGCAAATCTCTATAAAGCACTATACTTTTTATAATAAAATACAGTATATTGATTTGAAATGATAGGAAAGAACTTCACAATCAATTAAACTTAAAATGTCTAATATACTATGTTTATTATTTACTGTGACTGAAAATGTTACTGCCAGAAAAGTTTATGCTCTTCTGGTTAATTGTTTAACCAGTCTCTCTGCCAATGCGCCCTGTTAAATTGTAGCATGCCCCTAAAAAAGTGTGACCTATTGATAGTTTAGCCAAACTTTCTGCCTTTTTAGAATCTCAAATATTTACTCTGATACGTCACCAACAAAAGTACTATTAGATTGAGTTTGTTTTATCTATAAGTTGTTTGATAAACACATAAAAGGTGCAGTGCACTCTTCATAATATTCTGTAATGCAAAATAATTATTTTTTCAAGGGAACGTGTTGGCCATGCATTAATGTTTAACGAAGGACAGTTACAGCAAAACATTTGTCGATTGTGTGCGCTGCTATATAGTGACGTGTCCTCATTTTTGACTGTGTCAAAGTGCCATTCAGCAAAGACTATTGGTTTTCAAATCACCTGTACTGGTAACATGAACTTTAATTTGGATTGTGCATGAGTCTGTGACTGATGTAAACTGTTAAAATGATTCTATTGAATCAAAACATGTATATATAGACTATAGTTTTAAACTCTAAAAATAATTATAGTTTAAATTTGTAATAAATTTATTTTTAACTGTTACTACATTGGTATAATATAATTACATTACATTGAACACTAGAAAGTAAGCTTTACACTGCAAGCATATTTAAACCTTGGGAAGTGTAAGTTTACTTTCGAGGTGTACCTTTAAACAAACACCAAATTGGTGTCCCCACAGAGGCAAGCGGATTTACACCAAAGCAGCGTTAAATAACCTAGGACAGTGTAAGTTTACCCTCTCAGTGTAAATAAACACCAAATTGGTGTCCCCACAGAGGCAAACGGATTTACACCAAAGCAGTGTTAAGTAACCTAGGATAGTGTAAATTTACTCTCTCAGTGTAAACAAACACCAAATTGGTGTCCCCACAGAGGCAAGCGGATTTACACCAAAGCAGCGTTAAATAACCTAGGATAGTGTAAGTTTACCCTCTCAGCGTAAATAAACACCAAATTGGTGTCCCCACAGAGGCAAGCGGATTTACACCAAAGCAGCGTCAAATAACCTAGGATGGTGCAAATTAACACCAAATCAGCGTAAATAAACACCAAATTGGTGTCCCCACAGAGGCAAGCGGATTTACACCAAAGCAGCGTCAAATAACCTAGGATGGTGCAAATTAACACCAAATGGGTGTTCATACAGACACAACTATTTACACTGAAGAGGTGTAAACTAACACTAAAATCAGTGTTAACTGACACCTTTTCGGTGTCCCCACAGAGGCAAGAATTTACACCGATTTTGGTGTTGTGGCAACACTCCCAGATTTACAGTGAATTATAAGCTATAAATATTGCGAGACAAGTTGCACGAAGCCATGTTACACGCTGCAATGCTAAAAATAATTAGTGCAATCGTTGCCAAAAGTAGAACCGACTTCTATTCTGTGCAATGCTTCATGCAACTTGTCTCGCAAAGATTTTGACCATTGCAAGGCATGTTAAACGGTGCAATGTCTCGTGCAACTTGTCTCGCAACGCCATTGCGAGACAAGTTGCATATAAAATTGCACCGTGTAACAGGGCCTTAAGACTATGTTATGTGTTTAATTTTGACATGTGTTGAGTTACCCTAGCTGAGAGCAGAGCCTGATTAAGTATATTTAAGTGTTAAGTACATTTAAAGTAATGATTTCGTTGTAGATTTCACAATAAAATGTTGCGCTAAAATGTTTCTGAAAATCATTTCAGAATGTAATAAAAAGTTTTAAAAAACCGACGACGTTTCGACGTTAACACACGTCATTATCAAGTAAATAAAATAAGAATTAAGAGTTCTATACAGGGTGTCTCAAAAAACCGCTACCCTTAGAAATTCACCATTGTTCTAATTTGAATGCCTGAACCTTGTTGAAGCCATGAATGCGTAAACATTTTCACAGAATGCATATATTAAAGATCTTCGGAATTAAAATATCCTTGAAAAGCGAAATTGTTTATCCTGGGAATTGAAAGTAGGTTCATACAAAAGTATAACTGCACGAAAAACAACGTTTTGTTTGACTTACGTATTTTTGTTGCGTTTAAATCAATCAGTCATATGCTGAACAAAACCAGAAACTTTTCAATAACTTCTCAAGCATAAAATTCCATTCATGAGTTCAAGATAGCACTCAGGCATTCAAATTAGAACAATGGTGAATTTCCAAGGGTAGCGGTTTTTTTGAGATACCCTGTATATAGGGTGTATAAAAAAAAAGGAGACCTTTAGAAATCAAGCATCTTGTTAAAATTTGAATACCTTTTCAATTGCAATATGCTGAACCGTGGTGCGTGAAATATTGATGAGTGCATATATTAGAAAAAGGAGACCTTTAGAAATCAACCATTGTTATAATTTGAATCCTGGAGCACTTTGCTAAGCCCACGAGTGCGTAACATGCGATCTACGTACAGTATGGATGGCAGATTGTTCTCAGGAGCAGACAATCTTTTGTTTAAACGTTATTTCAATTTCTAAAGGTCTCCTTTTTCTAATATATGCACCCCATCAATATTTCACGCACTACGGTTCAGCATGTGTATATTTATACACCCTGTATACTAAATTAAAACAATGTCATTAATAAAATTCAAAGTCAAAAAAGAGTTTTGCTCTAATTGAGTCGCTCTGGGTATTCAAACCAGGGGCAAGTTTCTTGATAAAGCGCATTTCATTAATGAGACAGTCAAATTTCCCTTGACACTTCCGCAAAACGCAAAATTGGCTTTCATCTAACAAGTTCTTATCTCCGTGACTGTCCGAAAGGTGCTTTCCAATCGCCGAAAATTTGTGTTCAGCAATGCGTTGATGAAGATGTCGGGTTGTATACCCAACATATATGCATAGTCTGCATCACACAGACTACATTTGAATAAGTAAACAATGCATTGCTTATTAACAATCGATGGCTTCGTTTCCTTGAGTTTCATGTCCTGCTCAAGCTTTCGGCTTATGAAACAGGCTGTATTGAAAGACCAATCTTATTGCTGAGATCACGCATTTGCTTCCGTACTGTATCTGCTGCTCTCTGCTCTTTATATGGAAGACTAATTCTGATTGTAGCAGTCTCATTGACTTGATTTAAATTTACTGTGTTTGTCGACAACTTACTTGCAACACTTCGTATGGTCGAATTAATGAGTCCGATGGAATAGTCGAGCCGACAAAAGATTGAACGCAACCGGGCACATTCCTCGTTAAAGATTTCAATAGTAGATGAAATAACGTGAGCACGATATACCATTGTTTTCAACAAAGAGTGTTTATAGCGTTTGTCCGTATGGCTCTGAAAATGAAGGAATAATCTAGTATTGGTGGGTTTTCGGTAGACTTGCGTTTGAATTGTTGTTCCTATCTTGATTATATCCATACCAATGAATGGAATTCTGCCATCGGTCTGTACTTCCATGGTGAATACAATGCTAGGATGTAGGGCATTCAGGGTAGTAAGAAAATTGGAAGCAGCCTCGATACTAGGCATTTTGGATAAGGTATCATCAACAAATCTCCTGTAGAGAGATGGAATCTTGCCGTCACGTTCTAGCTTTTCTTCAAGATGACACATAAAAAAACATTAGCCATTAGGGGGCCCAAGGGGGATCCCATAGCAACTCCATCAGTCTGCTCATACAAATCATCATTAAACTGGAAAAGCTGGTTGGTTGTAGCTACTTCAAGAAGTTGTCTAAGTTCGTGTCTTGTCATATTAAGATGATGCGTTTGATTAAACCAATCGTTGCTGAAAGCTTTCTTGACCAAGATGTCAATCGTCTCTTTTAAGGGCACGTTGGTAAAGAGTGCTGTGACGTCATAAGACACCAATACATCATCTTCGTTCACATGTAAATTACGAATTTCATCAGCAAAACTTAACGTGTCGGCGATGGTATAAGCATTTGTAGCAAGCGATTTCAACCTCTCATCAAGCCATTTGGCAAGTTTATAGTTGTAAGATCCGGTTGCTGATAAAATTGGTCTTACAACTATAAACTTGCCAAATGGCTTGATGAGAGGTTGAAACCGCTTGCTACAAATGCGTATACCATCGCCGACACGTTAAATTTTGCTGATGAAATTCGTAACTTACATGTGAACGAAGATGATGTATTGGTGTCTTATGACGTCACAGCACTCTTTACCAACGTGCCCTTAAAAGAGACGATTGACATCTTGGTCAAGAAAGCTTTCAGCAACGATTGGTTTAATCAGATGCACCATCTTAATATGACAAGAAACGAACTTAGACAACTTCTTGAAGTAGCTACAACCAACCAGCTTTTCCAGTTTAATGATGATTTGTATGAGCAGACTGATGGAGTTGCTATGGCATCCCCCTTGGGCCCCCTAATGGTTAATGTTTTTTATGTGTCATCTTGAAGAAAAGCTAGAACGTGACGGCAAGATTCCATCTTTCTGCAGGAGATTTGTTGATGATACCTTATTCCAATTTTCTTACTACCCTGAATGCCCTACATCCTAGCATTGTATTCACCATGGAAGTACAGACGATGGCAGAATTCCATTTATTGGTATGGATATAATCAAGATAGGAACAACAATTCAAACGCAAGTCTAGCGAAAACCCACCAATACTGGTTTACTCCTTCATTTTCAGAGCCATACGGACAAACGCTATAAACACTCTTTGTTGAAAACAATGGTATATCGTGCTCACGTCATTTCATCTACTATTGAAATCTTTAACGAGGAATGTGCCCGGTTGCGTTCAATCTTTTGTCGGCTCGACTATTCCATCGGACTCATTAATTCGACCATACGAAGTGTTGCAAGCAAGTTGTCAACAAACACAGTAAATTTAAATCATGTCAATGAGACTGCTACAATCAGAATTAGTCTTCCATAGAAAGAGCAGAGAGCAGAAGATACAGTACGGAAGCAAATGCGTGATCTCAGCAATAAAATTGGTCTTTCAATACAGCCTGTTTTCATAAGCCGAAAGCTTGAGCAAGACATGAAACTCAAGGAAACGAAGCCATCGATTGTTAATAAGCAATGCATTGTTTACTTATTCAAATGTAGTCTGTGTGATGCAGACTATGTTGGGTATACAACCCGACATCTTCATCAACGCATTGCTGAACACAAATTTTCGGCGATTGGAAAGCACCTTTCGGACAGTCACGAAGATAAGAACTTGTTAGATGAAAGCCAATTTTGCGTTTTGCGGAAGTGTCAAGGCAAATTTGACTGTCTCATTAATGAAATGCTCTTTATCAAGAAACTTGCCCCTAGTTTGAATACCCAGAGCGACTCAATTAGAGCAAAACTCTTTGTTTGACTTTGAATTTTATTAATGACATTGTTTTAATTTAGTATACAGGGTGTATCAAAAAAAGCGCAACCTCGGAATTTCCCAAGAAATCGACATTGTTTTAAAGACAAAAGATTTTAGGCGCCTGGGAATTTAAAATAGCACAACTGTCAAAATTACTGCACACGCGAGTGCATAAAGCAAAAATTATGCATTTATTTAATGCACAACAACAGTAATATGATCTATTAGCAATTCGATTTCAATTCCCAGGGGCCTAAAATCTTTTATGCTTAAGAATTGCAAAGTGATTTCTTAGGAAATTCCGAGGTTGCGTTTTTTTTTATACACCCTGTATATGGAACTCCTAATTCTTATTTTATTTACTTGATAATGACGTGTGTTAACGTCGAAACGTCGTCGGTTTTTTAAAACTTTTTATTACATTCTGAAATGATTTTCAGAAACATTTTAGCGCAACATTTTATTGTGAAATTTAAGTACATTTGCTTCAATTATTACTTGTAGGTCAACGATACCAAATATTTAAAATTGTGCTTATGGGTGCATAAACTATTTAATCATTAGGCATCCCCGCGGCCCTATCTCTAGCTAATTGGAATATAATTTTAACAAATTTCAAAATTAATCATGTTCTTCAAAAATCTCATTATGCAAATGTCATACTGATCAGATTTGCATATCAAACAAAGTTGAAGAGTTTTATTCAGTGTCTTAATCAAAGCACGGGTGACTAAAATATATGCTTGCATGTATCATCCGTAAACAATATTGCTGAATTAAACTATGTCACTGCAGTTTTGAATCTAATTTATACACAGTAGATAAAGTAGTGGCCTCAGTTTGTATAGTCATTTTGTTTGATTTCACTTGATTGTATTTTGTAATTTGTTTCCGCTTGTAAGCTAATGTTCAAACCTTTGCTGTGGCTCTAATTCCATAGTATTGTAAATTACTGATCAGAATTTGTGATTACTAGTGTGAAACCTCAATTTTTGAGGCAATAGTCTGTCAAGATATGATGGTCTGGAAGTCCGGCACACTCCAAAGCTTGTTTGGAAATTTTTTTTGTCAAAACGACAATTGTTGTTTGCAATAATTGTTGTTTGGCAAACTCCAAAGCTTGTTTGGAATTCGTTGTTTGCTGTTGTTTGTCTCAACTTCATTAAATATTTTTCATCTTCGTTACACTTTCGTGTCAGCTATTCCTATTGGACGCTTACTTAATTATGGATGGAATACTGGTTAATTATTAAAGATGGAATACTGGTTACTTATATTAATTGTAACTGGTTCGGTTGGTATCTTGGACGCTGTTTTGTTTTGTTTTGTTTTGTTTTGTTTCGTTTCGTTGTGTTGTGTTGTGTTTTGTTTTGTTTTGTTTTGTTGTGTTTTGTTTTGTTTTGTTTTGTTTCGTTTCGTTTTGTTTTTCCGGTTGTCCATTTGTTTTGCTGAGTATTCACCAAATCTTGTTGCAAGATTTTTAATGCAGTTGACAAGTCTTCCTTTTCGCTTTCTAAGTCTTGTATTCTTTTGTCTGTCTGCGCATATTTGCCCTGAAGTATAGTGTTAGTTTTGCTACTGTAATTAAACTTTGCTTTTCGCTTTTAAGTTCTTACATCTTCGATTTCAGATCCGCCATACCATGACTTAGGATTTCATTTGCCTCTCTTAATTAAGACGGTGTTTTCTTTGATTAGATTAGCTTTTTCATTCTTTAAATCATTAACCACGTCCTCCAAATTTACTGTACAATCGAATAAACCTTGTTCTCTTTAATGTTTATTATTCCTCATTGAGTACCTCCAGTCTGTTGGTGACATTTTCAGCAAATCTCTCTAGATTATGCTTAAGGTGGCTCGCTACAGTTTATAGAAATGTTGAAAATGCGTAAACTAGATCACTTGAAGAGATGATGCTCTTTACAAATCGAAATTTGTATATTATATATACAGCGACAATCAAACAGTCGAAAATTGGTCAGAAAAGTGACGTCACCACTGTTGCTATGGCAACAATGACGATTCAAGATGGCCGATATTTTGGCTTTGAACGCATTTTACTTTAAAAAAAGGTCGGTTACCCCCATTTTTTATTTCAGAAACCATTTTCTTATAGTACAATACACTATCTGACCAATTTTTATAAACATGGTTTTTCGAAATAATTTTTTTTGCATTACAGAATTTTTTTAAAATTGGTCAGATAGTGCATTGCTCTATAAGAAAATGTTTTCTGATATAAAAAATGGGGGTAACCGACCTTTTTTTAAAGTAAAATGCGTTCAAAGCCAAAATATCGGCCATCTTGAATCGTCATTGTTGCCATAGCAACAGTGGTGACGTCACTTTTCTGACCAATTTTCGACTGTTTGATTGTCGCTGTATATATAATATGCAAATTTCGATTTGTAAAGAGCATCATCTCTTCAAAAAGGTGATCTAGTTTACGCATTTTCAACATTATTCACGAAATATTGATATCCGAAACGTATCCTTATTAATCTGCATTATTCTTAGACGATGTCATATTTTCTATAGCTGAAATATGTTAATAGATCATTGATTAATATTTTTGCGTGTGTATTTATCTTAATTAACCAATCATTATAGAAAGTTTTATCATTGTATAAAGTCGAGTATGAAGTAGATGGTTTAATAATATCATGGCTTCTGCATTGCCCGTTCGACGTCGAAGACCAAGAAGTGTGGGTGTACCAAAAAGAATTTCATTAACAAATTCAACTTACGCCCTTTGGATGAAAAGAAAAGAAAGTCTTGGAATACGGGGGCTTTCAAATAGGGAGTTCGCTGAAATCCTGCTCCATCAAAGCATGGACGAACTGCATGAACGTTGCAGGCGATGGGGTAGGAATCAGGATTTCATGAAAACACCAGCAGGTAAATATACTGAAGTTTTTGGTTTATAATAAAGCTAACCCTTGCGAAAGTAAGAATATTATATTGCTATTTTAAAACTATTTTATTACTATCACCCCTATTTTTATGCTATTTTATTCAGAGGCAACCCTATTTTAATTCTATCATAATATTTCACCAAAAGAAAGAACCATATTTTATTAATGTTTTATTTTATAAATAAAATCGCATATTTAAAATTTTTAAATAAAATCGCATATTTTAATACTATTTTCTGGAGCTTCAGGGAAAAAATAGGTTTAAAATACCCTATTTAAATTCTATTTTACTTCACTAAAAAGCAGTTAGAAATTAAAATAGATATAAAATTTACTATTTTTAAACTCATAAAATAAAATAGACTGTTACATTGTTAGTTAAGTTACATTGCAAGTTAAATGCACAAATTTCAAACAGGAATAAAATATACTATTTTAATCCTATCTTTCTTTCATAGTTAGCAAAATAACAATAAAATAGACTATTTTAAACATATTTTGCACGTGCAGAAAATTACATAAATTAAAATAGATATAAAATATAGTATTTTAAAGCTATTTATTTTTAAGAATACGCAAAACAGAGTAAATTAGACTATTTTAAACCTATTTCACATTTTTAAAAATGGCACATCTTTCAAATAGGGATAAAATATACTATTTTAAACCTATTTACTTTCCCTAATTTGCAAAATATAATAAAATACACTATTTTAATCCTATTTTACATTTACAGGAATTCAGGATTACAATTTGCAGATATGTATAAAATAGTCTATTTAAATTAAAACATACTGAATTTTCCTACTTAGCAAAATGAAATAAAATAGAACCGTATTTTACATTTACACAGATAAAGGACCAATCATTAATAATGGAAGGGGGGTGAGGGGAGGGGCGGAGGGTGAGAAAAGGGGAGGCTTCAACTATTGCGTACAGCGACATTCCCACTGGTCATCCCATACAGTGCTTCCACTTGCAAGGAAATTTCTTTGCAAAAAGAAATAAGATTTACCAGGAAACGGCAAGGAATTTTGTTTTCAGCAAGGAAATAAGGATATTACGTTATTTCTAATAAATCCTAAGATCATAGCAATTCCCAAGCAAATTCGCGTCAGGAAATGTCGAAAATCCAAATCCTACTCCTGGGGAATGGAAAATGTGAAAAATGTCTGAGGCATGACCTCAAGCCTCCTGTTAAAGTTTTTTATCATTAATTTATAATTTATAATTGCATCGTTCATGGTGTTTCTCGCCCGAGAAACACACCGTGATTCAGGATAAATTATTGTAATATCAGTTTTAAACTAGGTAAAATTCATCTTCTTTAGTGGAAGGAATTTTTGTCAAAAATAAAGAAATTTTGAGCAGTTGGGAAGGAAACTCTTTTTTTGGAAGTGGAAGTGGAAGCACTGAATTTACACCCCGTCATATTTATTATAATCAGTTCGTGATTTCGAAGTTACAATATTTCGCTCGATATTTTGAGCCGATGAAGCTTTAATAAGCGAAGATGAAACATCAGGGATGATTGAGTGATATCCAGGTAAGAATCTTGTTATGTTTTATGTATAATAGAGCAATTTTGAAAGGAAATATTTGCTATCTTCATTCGTGAATTTTGAGAATGCACGTGTTTGATGACCTTTGATGTTTCGGCTTATAATTTGAATTTGCCGCGACAATTTCGAAGTATAAGTTACAATATTTCGCTCGATATTTCGAGCCGATGAAGCCTTAATAAGCGAAGATGAAACATCAGGGATGACTGAGTAATATCCAGCTAAGAATCTTGTTATGTTTTATGTATAATAGAGCAATTTTGAAAGAAATATTTTCTACTTCAATCTTCATTCGTGAATTTTGAGAATGCACGTGCTTGATGTTCGGGCTTAAAATTTGAATTTGCCGCGACAATATTTAAAACGATGATATAAACATTAGTTTAATTAGTTTAAGGCTTACATTTGACTCAGTCTTTACATTAAATTATGTTTATTGTAACTATAATGCCAAATAGTTAATAGATGTGTATATGACAGATTGCTAGATTCCAGTGGCAGTGTTTTTTGTATCAAAATTAAATAATATATTGTAGCTTGGCATCTACTCAATCCTCAATTCTTTATATGCTTATAAATACCTAGGCATATCCCAGCTAAATGTGCATGTCTCAGTTACAATAGTCATTGAATAAAAATTATTCTGAATAAGGAGTGCATTATATAATAATAATTAACACACAATTTATAAAAACTGTATGTTTTGAATCACTATGTTGATGACTGCTTCTTGATGACAACGCTATGTTGACGACTGCTTCCTGATTTTCCAGTCTGCTGATCATATACCTCAATTTCTCTCTTATTTAAATCGCCAACACCCTAATATTAAATTCACCAGTGAAGTTGAATCTAGTTCCACACTTCCCTTTCTTGATATCAGCATTTCTCGTAAGAATGGTGTTTTCGAAACTTCCGTCTATCGAAAGCCCACCTTCACAGGTCTGTTTACCAACTTCCGTAGCTTTATTCCTTTTCAATATAAACGGAGCTTAGTTTCTTCTCTTATACATCGTTTCTTTAGTCTTTGCTCCAATTATGAGAACTTTCACGCTCAGTTAGAACTATACCGCCAGATTCTTAATAAGAATTGTTATCCAACTCGTCTTTTTGATCGCTGCGTACGAACATTTTTAGAAAATGTGTCTCAACCCAAACCAGCTGTTCATTCTGCTCCTAAGAAAGTCCTATATTTTTCCCTTCCATATACTGGCGCTAACTCTCTTCAAATTCGCACCCAAATCTCCCGTCTTTGTTCCTCAGCCTTTCCTCATCTTAATATTAGATTCGTTTTTCGTCCAACTTTACGTTTGTCCCAACTCTTCACCTTTAAGGACAAAATTCCTAAGGCTTTAAGATCTTGTGTTGTGTGTTCTTTCACGTGTCGTTGCTGTTCCGCAACGTATTTGGGCCAAACGGTCCGTCACTTGCACACACGAGTATCTGAACACTTGGGTGTTTCTCCTATAACAGGCAGTAAAAGCAGTAATCCGACCATGTCTAGTATCCTTTCCCATCTCGATAGCACTGGTCACTCCGCTTCTCTTAATGACTTTAAGATTATTTCTTGTTGCTCTTCTCCAGACAAACTCCTCATTCGAGAAAGTCTTCTCATTAACTCATTAACAAACTCAAACCCCCTCTCAACTTACAAGGCAGGTCCCTCTACTTCTACTCTGATCCACTCCTCTTTCTACTTTTGTAATATAATATCTTGTAAATAGTTGTAATTTATTCATATTTCTGTGTTTTCCGCTTTGTATGTCATTGCTCTGAAGATGTCTTAAGTTAAAGACGAAACGTTAGCTTTCTAATAAATATTTTAAACTATATTTTTGTAATGGCTCTTTTACGTATTTTCTGCTGGGCATTAATATTTATCTTAAGATTACGATTCCCGCCTGGTTCATCTATCGCAAGTATTCAAGTTGGTATTAATTCATGATTTGATCTGATTTGCAGCTCAAGTGAAGAATATACCTGTGGTGATACAAATTTTAGTTATGACTCCTCATAAACCTGCATCTATAATTTTGAACAATGCAAATCATTAAAAACTTGCATAGCATGACCTGTTGCTATGGCTAACTTCACCACTGACAGTATTATAATTATACAAAAGCAAGAAGTTATAAGCATTGAAGATATTCATATAAAACCGCACATGCCAAGAAAGTAGAATTAGACTACTTTTAGCCACCCTTCGACTTTGTGCAAGATGTTTGATATTCAAATTGCCCTTTTCCTACCTCCTGAACAGGCGTCTTAGGGGCTGTTTGCATGATGGAAGGAACAATGATTTTGATGTATTGAAATATCAGTCACTAGGCTAAATGAAAGTTCAAATGCTTGTTAGCAGAACTCAAATGTTGTAGGGAAGATCGTGTGGTTCAAGAAAAATCTCTAGAAAATAGTGTAGTTTTTTGCTGAATCATGCACTGTGACGTATTTAAGTACATCAAAATTCAAAATCATCTTGCCTCATATCTCGTGCTGGCAAAGCGGGATCATATAAACAGCCCCTTATTCAGCGAATTGTGCATGCTGCCTTTGATCCCTTGGGGGTGAGGCAGCATTTTCCTTGCAATAGTAACTTCTAGTATAATAACTAATCTTAGCTTGCTTGTACTGTATGCATTATGACAACAGCATATTTAAAAGAGAAAATAGAACTTATTAGCATTTTGATAAGGTACAATGTGTTTTTTGACTCTCCATATTATAATTAAGGGCCTTGATAATGCATAAAAGCAAGATTATTTATGTGAAGACTGCGGCCGACACTGAGTCCTCAAGTTTAATGTTTTTATTAAATCATTTTAAATGTCAAAATGATGTAGATATTCATGCACCCATACATGTCAATTTTCATGTACTGACTACTGATCAAGTTTTTTTGAACAGCTTTCACATGAAGGATGTGTGGCTTTAGGCAGACAAGAAATACACAACATATACATTATAAAAAAGTAACATCACTACTATTTTATTTAAAACAATTTCAGATAAAAAGCCTGAAGTGTTAGAGAATTTCTACCATTCATTAGTCTGTCAAACTTACAGCCAAGATTACCAAAGTAAGTGTGGCAAATATTAATTAATATGGCTTGCATATACATAATGTGCAAGCAATATAATTAATTATCTTGTCCTATAATAAATAGAACATTCAACAATGTATATAAGCTGAAATCGTAATACAAAAAATCATGGAAATTCAAGTTGGGATTTAAATCATTGAAACCATATATCTTAACCCTTTCATTCATAATGTCGTCATCAATACTTTTCCTCTTGCTTTTAAGGCTTTACAAATCAATTCACTTGTCAAAGGTGAAACCTTTTTTTATATCAATGTATTTTTTGCAATTTCATATGGGATTGTACATGCATTTTAGGCTGCAAAGAAAAGTGGATGTGAGGCTCTTAAAGAATGGGTACAACCAGTTCGAAACCGCTTTTGGCACTGTGCTGAAGAGTGCAAAGGGGATTTAACTAATCTTAAGGTAAAAGCTTAATGTATCTGCAATGAACAAAGATAATTGTTTAAATCCTATTAACCGTTCCTATGCATCCCGAATGCACCCTACAATATTATTTCAATATATCTAATATATGGCACACGATAGCTTTGCAGATTAATGGGTTAACCGAACTAGCAGACTGATAGTCGGATAATGAGCTAATGCATGTCTTCTGTGAACCCACTAAGATGCATTATGCGCAATGTTTTATTATTTTAATCTGCCTGGCACCAGACAATTATTTATCAAGTCAGGAGAGCCTTTTCTATTAATAAATCAATGCCGAAGACTCTCTTTATGATAAGTTAGGTCGCGGTCACACTAGCGCTTGTGCTTGGAGATTACCACCGGATTAGCGTGCTTGCTTGAACACATACCAAGCTCATGCTAGAATGTAAGCCAAGCACGTCGCGGTCACACTCAAAAAAGCAACGTTTGCTTGCTTGCTGTTGTTGACAGATAAACATTAAAAACCTATCTAATAATCTAAAGTCCATTATATTAAAAGCAACGAATACACATTATTCTTGTGATTTCGTAGGCCTAACTAAGTTTAGACTTTACAACATATAGAGAAATGTGTCTTTGTCCTTAGTTCTGGCGCAAATTGCTTGCCCGATCGTTATTCATTATCATATTATATGTATTAAATAGGGATGTTAACATTGTATATTATATAATTACACGGGCAAGAACTAAATTACTTTGAAATTTTGAATTTGGTTTCTGCTTCAGGTTTCCATACAGAAATACCGTTTATTCATTCGACTCACTGCTTAGCGCGTTGTTGTGTAAGCAAAATAGTTCGAATCTACCGCGGTTCTGTCTCTATTCAAATTAAAAATGACATGTTGAAATTACTTGTCTATTTGCCTCCTAAAACTCCACATTTTATTGGCTGAATTATTTAATCCACTTGAGATCCACATTCTAGCACGATTCAAACATACCCTGTAGTGTGTTTGGATCGTGCTTCGGCGCCTTTGAAATTTCAAGCAAATCGTGTCAGATTTCAAGCATGCTTGGGTTTTGTGTTTTGCGCGGTCACACTGGCAAGCGCGCTTGGAAGGTGATGTGTTGAGCGATTCAAATGGATTTAGTTCAAGCAAGCACGATTCTAAAATAAATGGATATGAAACTTCTGACGTCATTGACTGC